AAGAAAGAAATGTTTGGGATGATTATGAAGCTAAATGAGCTAGGGTATTTATAGTTGAAGCTTAGGGACTAATCTTTGAAAATACCCTAAAATACAATGATTAAATGTGTGATTATCACATTGCTCAAATTCAATGAATTCAAGCCGCCCCACTTGCTTAGCCGCCCATTTAGCTAGCAGCCCATGTACTGCCTTTGTTGAAAAATATCAAGCAAAGCCGGTGCCCCCACCAAACAAGCTGGTGCCCCACTTTGACTTTTCTTCCAACAGTTCATTTATCGCACATGAATAAAGATGCATGCTAGTTCATTTAAGCATGATAGGTCATTTAAGTATGTTAGTTCATTTAAGTTAGTTTATTAAGTGTTAGTTTGTATGATATTTTCATTTTTCATTTTATTCAAGTTAATAAGTACGAATATTTTCTATAGGTGTTTTTAGATGCAATTTCAGCTAATGATAAAGTTTGGAATTTTAGTGACTGTTCGAATTCTTCAAGGGATAATAAGGACTTCATAATCACCCTTTTATGAGAGGCTATTCGAATTCTCAAGAGGAAGAGAGCATTCAAGGGCTCTTTTTATTCATCCATTACGCCATTAAATGAGAATGAACGACAACAATCAAAGCTTTGGGAGTCCAAAAGTTTCTCCAATGAGGACGCAAGGATGTCTACATTCATTCTAAATATGTCCACATTCATCCTTTATTCATCATAAAGAATTAAGCTTTGGAATTCCAAAGGTCTCTTCTTTGTGGAAAAATGGATGTCTAGATTCATCCTAGAGATGTCTACATTAATCCTAAAGCTCCAACATGACTATTCGGCTCCCAAGGGAAAAAGAAGGTCACAAGCTATTACATGTGTCTTCATTACCATTAAGATAAAGGCTCTATTTCAAATTCTAGCCTTGAAACCCTATATAAATAGGTGTCCATTTCTCCATTGTAAGCTTACAACTTTGATTTTATAAACACACTTAAGAGTGTTATCTTTTCTAGTTCTTTAAGAATTTTATCGGTTCATCAAGTTTAATCTTGTAGCATATTTTCATTCATTTTGTTATATCGTTGGTTCCTAGTTCTCTAATAACAAGTGGGTCACGATCCATCCTCTTCCATATTAGGTTCAAAAACTTATATGGTTTGAGTCAACATTCAAAATAGTGTTGGTTCTTCCTTGTTCCCACGTCATCATTAAACAATTCCATCGCCTTCCATACACTTTCTATTCACAATCAACCTATAATAATCACAATCACATATTACCAAACCTTCTCATACCATTCGTCATTCCAACTTTACAAAGTTCATCTTTTTGAATTTAAAGTTAATTTTAAGTTCTTACTAGAATCATGGTCGGGTAAATTCATAAATAATTCGATAAACATTTGTTATCGCAATAGTGCTAGCACACTTGTAACCGCAAGTATAGTGGATAGCTTTAAGCTATTAGGTTATCGATCTTACGAAGAACGATAGTTAGATATTTAAGATTGTCGGTGTAATGTACTGTAGAAAGGATAAAATTTAATGAGTCGTCGATGTAAAATAAGAGAAATATAGAGTAAATAAACTAATGATGAAGAATAAGGTATTTGTCAGCGCACTTTCAGCCCAAGTAAACATGATAGCCCATGCAGATATATTGATTGTTAATGCAGTGAAGAGTATGTATATCTTAATAGATCAACTTCCCTTAGTTAATCAATGACTCACACTTAACCTAAACAAGTATACCTTCCAGTGATTGTTAAAACATAATCGAAGGAAAAGCAAGATGTTATCCCTATCTACTTGGCTCGCTCTCAATAATGCTTCTCACTCGCACGTTGCTACACTGTCGCTTCCATGGTCAGGAGGCTTCTAGTTTGCTTTAAAATACCTAGGGTGGTTTCAGCTGCCATGACCATGACGTGAATAGATTTTTCTAAAGAGGATGATCTGATGCGTGAAGGAGAGAGAGAGCAAATCTTCATTCTCTTTGACTTTTATTGTTGGATTGCTAGAGATAGCTTCAAGAAATGAAGAACAATAACGTTTCTTCTTTTTTAAGCATATTGATTACATTGCCTTTATAGCAGTTTTATAAGATGCTTAGCTGAGCTACAACCACCTCAACTGCACGCTAACATCCTTAACACCCCTAACCAACCTTAACTGTTTAACAGACTGGAGCAGTTACTCTAATATTCTCTCTATTTTCTCCTTCTTCTTCAACAAGGCAGGACACACATCTTTGTTCTAAAGACTTCAAATGCAGCCTTAGTTAGTGGCTTAGTAAGGCCATCTGCCACCTGACAATTTGCTGGAACATAACTAACACGTAGGGCTTTTGCTGTAACCTTCTCCCTAATAAAATGAACATCCATGTCAACGTGCTTCGAATATGCATGATAAACTGGGTTCATGCTCATTGCGATGGCGCTGGTGTTATCACACCAGATAACTGGTTATTCATGTTGCTTCACGCCTAGACTGAGTAGGAGTGCATTGATCCAAGTGACCTCTGTGGCTGTGTCTGCTACACTACGGTACTCCGCTTCCATGGTGGACCTGGAAACGGTCTTTTGCTTCTTCGAGCTCCAGACCACGGGGCATTTTCCAAGGAACACAGTATGACCAGATATTGACCTTCGGTCATCCGTATCACCTCCCCAATCTGCATCAGCAAATGCGACGACCTTCAGTCCTGCTTCACCAGCGAGGAACGTGAGGCCATAATCCAGGGTGCCAGCCAGGTATCGAAGTATACGCCTCACTGCTGTCATATGAGACTCACAGGGTGCATGCATATGTTGCGCAACTTTGTTCACACTGTATGCAATATCAGGGCGAGTGTGGCATACATAGAGAAGTGCACCAACTAAACTTCTGTACTCACGAGCATCTGAGAGTAGAGTCCCTGCTTCATGAAGCAGTTTTGCTGACCCGACCATAGGTGTAGCTGCAGAATTGGCATTTAACATTTTGCTTTTTCCAGGAGCTCAAGGATGTACTTCTTCTGCGAGAGAATCAACTTACCACTACTACGCTTGACCTCAACCCCAAGAAAGAAACTCAGTTCACCTAAGTCCTTGGGTGAGAAATCTTTCTTCAAGTGCTGAACTACTCCCTCAATGTCATCCTTACATTGCCCATTAATAATTATATCGTCCACTTAGACCAGAACAAAGATATAATCATCATGTACACATCTCACAAAAAGTGATACGTCAGCTAAAGACTCCACAAATCCCATTCGCTCGAGGTTAACCTTCAGCTTGTCATGCCAATTTCTGGGCGCTTGGCAAAGCCCGTATAACGTTTTGTGTAGCTTCCACACAAGCGGTGATCCATCCGCAACAAATTCCTCAAACCCAAGGGGCTGCTGCATGTACACTTCCTCAGACAAGTCACCATTGAGGAACACGTTATTTACATAAACTTGGAGTAGAGACCAATTCTTAGTGACAGCAAGAGAAAGTACCACATTCAGTGTGACAAATTTCACAACCGGGCTGAACGTATCCTTGAAATCGTACCCAGGAACCTGTGAGTACCCTTTGGCAACGAGTCGTGCTTTATACCGTTGCACAGACCCGTCTGGGTTCTTTTTTATTTTAAACAGCCATTTGCAGCCAACAACATCACTACCGTTGGGCAGGGGAACAAGGGACCAAGTCTTGTTGTCTTGTAGCGCCCCAAGTTCAACATCAATAGCAGACCTCCAACTAGGTGATAACAACGCAGTTCGAACATTAGTGGGAACTGTGTCATCGAAAAAACTGGTGTACACATTTGGCTTAAAAACCTTCATTTCATGGCGCTCCCTGGCTATGATCAGTATGTACTTTGCTTTTTTCTTTATTAGATAAAGAAAAAGATAGTGTTAGTTAAGTACAGTGTTTTATCTATTCTGTTCTTCAGGTGCAATCCCGTGTGTAGTACAGATAATAGGCTTGTTTTTTATTCCAGAGTCCCTAGATGGCTGGTAAGTCTAACTCCATAGTATTCGGAAGCTTTTTAAGTCCGTAACATGTTAGAGAAAGATATAAGAGAAATTATGCACTTGATTCTTTACTTTTGAGTTGACACAGTGTAAATGCAAGATGTGAATGGCTTCTGCAGACAAAATATATATGGTCGAGAGAAAGAGTTTGAAGCTTCCTTGAAGCGTCTTAGGGGAGACTCGGATATTTCTGAAGAAGCAGCTATTATCAGAGTAGATTTTAGCTTCATATCTTTTAGTTTTTCCCCAGGAAATTTGGAACGCTTATTTCCTCATGATGTGTGCTTATATTCTCTTGAAGAGTTATTTGGAAACTCTTGAGCAACAGACAGGAGCAAGTATCCTTGAATTGTTCCGAAAGAGATATGCTAATTCACTCATTGTGAGCTGAGAATAAATATGCTAATTCGTTTTATGACTTGCCTGATCGTTTTATAAATGGCTTCTTGGAGTTTGCAGGTTGGAGTTGGCCTAATGTTATTGCAACAACTTGTAGGAGCAGGTGCCATGGGATATTATACTGGTACAATATTTGAAGAAGTAGGTAAATTTATATCTTCTATGTTGGTGCTTATGTAATTATTGCACAGCGAAGTATATTTTTTTGTTGTCATAAAAGAAGATGAAGATACAAAGTTTTGTCTGCAACAGGCATATCAGGTAACCTTGGCCTTCAAGTTTTAGCTATTGTACAGGTACCTTCATGGCTTCTTTTCCAACTTGTAGTTAAGGTAAAATTATGCTCCATGCATTTCCGAGACATGTCAATAACATTGTTTTTGAAGATTCCAGTAGCAATTTTAGGTTCATTTTTAACGGATAGATGCGGTAGACGACCACTTATATTGGCTAGTTTCGTAAACAATGTGATATTCATAATTAAAATAAATAATCAATAAAAACATATATTGATCTATCAATGATTTTGGGATTTTTTTTTTTTTTTTTGAAAAGGGATGTTTTGTGTTAATATCCGAAATACAAAAACATGACAATTACATGGGTCTCGTTAAAATACCTCTCTAAGCCTAACCGGAGAAAAATAGTACACAATGTAATTGTCAAAACGATAAACAACAACCATAATGATTCACACCAGTCTTAAACTTCAAAGCACTGCCGAAATGCTAAACACAAAACACTTCTCACATGGAAAAAATGCTGCACACTGCCGAAATGCTAAACACAAAGCACTCCTCACGTGGAAAAAATGCTGCACACGCCAAAACCAGCACAGAAACCAGAACACACCTTACAAAATTGCCTCAACAGCCAATAACACCCTGATCAAGCCAAGGACTGCTACGAAAGCATCAAACCATAAAGCCACGGTCCGCCACTCTGCTAATATGCAACTGAGAAAGTACTAGGATGCTGAACCGCTAGACACTCGAGACAGAGAATATATTCGATAGCAGAGCACTAGCATTGAGGGCAGGACCACTGAAATACCGGCTGGCACAACAAAAACAACTCCAGATTACCACCAAAAGCAATTACAACAAAATGGAATAAACCCATCACCATCCACTTAGGCCCAATCCAAAAACAACTAAGGAAGATGACGGGCTACCAACCACCAGACAAAAGTGACCAAACAATTGCCAGCCCCACTGAAGCAGAACCTAGAAACACTACCAAGAGGACGAAAACGACAAGAACACCCAAAAACTTTCACAAAAACTACTAATATAAGTAATATTGCATTCTCCAAACTGACTTCACACTATGGATGGACATAGGTCGGATTTTTGGTCCATCCGATTCGGGAATAAGGAATCTTCTACCCGAGACCCGACCCGATCAAAAAAAAATTTCACCCGACCCGATATATAATTTAGAAAACCGACTCGATTCGACCTGAAATAATAAAAATTATTATTTTTATTCAATAAAAACAATGACTTAATTGAAAAAATTATATATATAAGGGTATTATTATAATTATTCTTAAATATATAAAGTAAAATTATACATTTTTTTGGGTCGGGTATTTTTCACCCTAAACCCGAACCTAAATTTTTAAAAAAAAACCGACCCGATTGAATTGGATTGGGTCAGAACCCGTCGGGTTCGGGTCTCATGCCCATCCCTACCCCTGATGAAAACAACCGCAGCTGGACACCAAATGGAACCCTTTTTTTCCAAGGTAATTGACCTCAGCGAGAACCATTAGCTACGTACCTGCATTAGAATATTCTCCTCCCAGCAAGTATCACAGACCAGCATTTGACAGACCCTGCTAAAACATCCAGGAAAAGAGTCACCTCGCACCAATCATCTGAAAAAAACCACAGATTACAAGCTAAACGACAAGGATATGCACTAGCGACGCAGCAGAAACAACTGTACCTCAAATCAGCAATCAAAGAGCTACTACACCCCGCCCCAGCCAAACCACACCACCAGCCAGTCAAACACCCCACTGAGGCAGCCCAGCACAGACCCACATTAACTTTCAGCAAATTCACTCTAGAATAGCAACCCCACACATCAGCTTACCATACAGAAACACACACAAATCCACTAGGCCACATCACCTTCTAACAGAAATCATCGCACTGGGATTACTGCAAAAATCGGAAAATGAAACGATTTCCTCAGGCCACTTCCACTTGCACCAACACCCAATTCTCGAAACGACCGAGTCAAACAACTTTTCCTCGGACCAGTTGCTCCTATTGAAAATGATTTCATTCCTTAATAGCCAAATAGACCCAAAAAATTCAAACAAAGCTAGCTTCCATACTGGTTTGCTGGATTTGGAAATTGGGGCTCCTACCCACGACGAGATGAAGGATCGCACATCACCCGGGCACACCAGATGCAAATTCCATATGGCACACCACCTTGACCAGGCTCTCCATACAACCTCACACCGACAAAACAGGTGGTTTACTGATTCAGACTCCTTTAAACACAACATACAAGCACAAGACTCCGAATTCAAACATCCTCGTTTTTCGAGCTCCACCCGAACAGGTAGTCTTTGAAGCACTGCTCTCCAAACAAGAAGCTCAACTTTCGGCGGAGTAAGGTTTGCCCATACCAAACTCCAGAAATTATCGCACTCGTCCTCAACGAGAACAGAAGCGGAGCAAAACGAGCTCGGAGTGTACACCCCGCTCGGTTCCCCCACCCACCGAGTCACATCCACTTCCTTACTTCCTTGAGCTGCTTCATTTAAAGTTCGGATAAAATCATCCCACATGTTGAATTCCCACGAGAATAGCATTATCCTTATCTCAATATTCCAAGACCACTTCCCATCAATCTTCAACCCGAACTCTGAGACCTTCCCCAATTTTTTTTGTTGCTAGCCCAAAAATCCGAGGATAGGATTCTTTCAAAGACAAGAAACAAGTCCAGTGGTCGTTCCAAAAATCAACCGACTTCCCGTCTCCTAGCACAATTCTCGAACTCTTCGAAAAAGAATCGTCCGGGTTACCTAAGGGCTAAACTACACTTCTCCAAACCCATGACATTTTTTTCGGATCCAACAGAGGGGGAAGTTAAACACCCGCATCAAAACCATACTTGACTACAACAATTCTTCTCCATAACCGATCGGGTTCTCTATCAAATATCCAAATCCATTTATTGAGGAGAGAACGATTTTTTAAGCGAATGTCAACTAAGCCCAAACCTCCCTGCTTTCAAGGTTTACACACTCTCCCACTTGACCCAATGGATGGGTTTGTCATTACTAGAGCGGCCCCACAAGAATTTTGAGATGATACTTGTCAGCTTAGATGCTAATGCCACGGGCATATCTTCACCCCCACCCCATCGGACCTAAGAGCAGCTTCAACGAGATCAATATTATACATACTTTTTATCAACCCAACAAGGCACCTGCTTTTCCAATCATTCTCCTCCCTTTTCAAGCAAATCTTGTTCGGCACTCCATTCATTTTCTCATTATTTAGCATTTCATCAATCACCCTCACGTGGACAACATCAGGCTGCTTACTCTAAATATTTTCTGACACAAAGATTGGTTTTGCATTACCTGTTACGACTTCTTTGAAGGATCTGTTATCCCTCAACGACACAGACAGCAAATTCTTTATGAAAATAACCGATTAAGAAGAGTTCGATTTCTCTCACATAATCCCCGAGTATTTGACAATTTTTTATGATTTTTTTTTTTTAATTGCCTTATGAATAGAGAAAGATCTAACTTTTGTAGAAGAGTTTCATCTATTCATATTAACATCACATCTTGTTAACATAGCAAATTTTTTTACGATAACATCACATTTTTCCACGCAATGTAATTTTTATAATGTAGATTTAATTAAAGTCTTTTAAAAAATAGATTTGAACAATTAGAGTTTTTTTATAATATTTTTATATTTTTAATAAAATCCAATATTAAAATCTAAGAGTAATGATGAAATTATATCAATTTTTTAACGAAAAAACAATAATAAAATATTAAAGTAATGATTAAAATTTAATATTGTCTTCATTTTTAACGGAAAAAAGACGAGTTTTGAACATACTAAATAATCGAGTGATCATTTTATAACGTTTAATAGTCGAGAGACTCAACAAAGCAACATCCTATTGTAAGAGGATCATTTTGTAACTTTTTATAGTCGATGGACTCAACAAAACATCACTCTATAGTCGGAGACTATTTGTGTACTCTTGAAATATGAAGATATCGTGGACGTAGAAATCTAATAACACCCTCAACAGCTAAAACTATGGTGCATCTTGAAAATCATGACCAGGGGGTGAATACTCGATCGAGTCTAAGTCAAGTCGAATCAAAAAACTCAAATTAAAAGGATCAATATAAATATAATAAAAAACTATTTAACATAATTTGTATATATATTTAAATTTAAAAATATAATAACAATTGTATGTATTTAGATTGAATCTAGAAATATATCAACTAGTCAGTATAATTTTGGGTAAACTACTGGATTGATCACTTTTGTTTTTGTACATTTTTTGCTCATCAAATTCAAAAATCATAAGTTTTAGTCACTTACATTATTGATTTATTAAGTTTTGGTAATTTATGTTATCTGTTGTTATATGTTAGTTACTGAGTTGTTAACTCGCGTTAGTTTAATGATGTGGCACGTTAGTTAAAAGGAGTTAAATTTTAATTTTACCCCTGAACTTTAGATTGAATACTAGTTAGACTTTGAACTTTTGATAAAGTATCTTTTTGACCTTAAACTTTAGATAAATTTTCAATTTGACCCCTAAATTCTGTCAAATTCTCTAGTCGCTGCCACCACTCACTGTTGATCACTGTTGGTTGTCATAGGCAGTCGTCGTCGTCTCCTTGAAGGGGCTCCTAGAGAAACATTCCGCTCCAATAACTTATTCTAGTTGTCACTATTCAATCGTCGGGCAGTGGCACACATTTTCTCTATAACCCAACATTCCACGGAGGAAACAAAAGAGAGAATTTCTCGTATGCGAATCGAACGTATTGGTGACTGCCATTAGGTAGTAATCAATACATTAAATACTCTCTCAACAAAAATAAAATTATATTAAAACTTAATAAACAGAAAATAATGGAAGAAAGTTAAGACGGCTGCTATTGTTTGTCCTCTAAAACCACTAATAAATTCTCCTTAAAGACACCTCTCAAAATATGAAATATGAAGAATGTTTTTTCCTTTCTAATTTTTAATACTTCATTTTAATTAATCCGGATCGACAATAAAAAATAAAGCATAGCGACAATGGTGGTGGTTTCGTCCCATCAAATCAATGGCAGCTGTAGTTATTGACTATACGGTGAGTAAATCTGTCTATTATGAATCTGATGGGGTTGTGGTCCGTATGTATTCGGAGGAGCTTTTATTTTGTTGAATTTTTGGCATGTAATTTGTCTATTATGAATTGGGTGGGGTTATGTTCCAAACTGATCGGAAGACTTGGTAAATGGTTAAAAAGGTGAAAGTTAAATTTAAACAAAAATAATGAGCATTAAAAGACAGTAACAAAAATGTTGAAATTAAAATTACCATTATAATTTTTATTTAAAAAATGTTTTGAATGGAGGAGAGTAAATATCATCCTTGGCTGTTACAGCGTTTATAGGTGGTTCTGTATGTGTTCCCTCTTCAATTTTCATTGTCAATGTCAAGTGTTAACCTTTCATTTCATTATCTGTTTTGAAGGCACTTCTTTTTCTGCTGCTTCTCAGTATTTTCTTTCTTGGTTCTCTTTATTGTCTCTCTATTGTTCATTTTGTTTTTCTTTACATCCAGACCCCCCAAAGAAAAAGAAAAAAAAGAAATGGATCCAATTGCTGCTGGTGCTGCTGCCAATATCTCTTCGAAGTAGCTAAAGGTATCTTCCACGAAGCAAAACGTCATATAAGATATGTAATTTCCTACAAGAGATACGTTAAGAATTTCGAGGAAAAAATTGAGAAGTTGATTGAGAGAAGATCAAGCGTGCAACAAGATATTGTTGTTGCTGAAAAGCTTCCCCCGTTCTTACTTTTCCACATGCGAAATTATTGCGTGCAACAAGATATTGTTGTTGCTTCGTGGAAGATACCTTTAGCTACTTTTCCCCCGTTCTTACTTTTCCACATGCGATCCTATCAGAGATACGTCAAGAATTTTGAGGAAAAACTTGAGAAGTTGATTCAGAAAAGATCAAGCGTGCAACAAGATATTATTGTTGCAGAAAGGAACGTGGAGAAGATTAAAACGGATGTCCAGGGTTGGTGCGATAGAGCGGACAAGTTTAATAAGGACTTATGCTATCTAACCAAAACTAAAAGCAAAGAAACATAGTAAGAATCATTGATAAAGACTTGAGAGGTCCTTAATCCTTTTTTTTTTATTTAATACTTTTCAATTTTTTATGAAACTAAAATTAAAGAAAGATAATAACAGTTGATAAATACTTGAGAGGTCCTTATGTATCAAAAATAACTTATAATAATCGAAAATTTTAATAAAACATAATTATACGATAATCAAAAATAATAATCGCGACAATGGTGGTGGTTTCGTCGCATCAAATCAATGGCAGCTGTAGTCATTGACTAGACGGTGAGCAAATCTGTCTATTATGAATCTGGTGGGGTTGTGGTCCGTATGTATTCGGAGGAGCCTAATTAATAATTTTTGGCATGTTATTTGTCTATTATGAATTGGGTGGGCCAGGGTTGTGTTCCAAACTGATCGGAAGACTTGGTAAATGGTTAAAAAGGTGAAAGTTAAATTTAAACAAAAACAATGAGCATTAAAATGACAGTAACAAAAATGTTAAAATTAAAATTACCATTATGTTTTTTATTTAAAAAACGTTTTGAATGGAGGAGAGTAAATATCCTCTTCGGCTATTACAGCGTCTATAGGTGGTTCTGTATGTGTTCCCTCTTCAATTTTCATTGCCAATGTCAACAGTCAAGTGTTATCCATTAACCTTTCATTCATTATCTGTTTTGAAGGTACTTCTTTTCTGCTGCTTCTCAGTATTTTCTTTCTTGGTTCTCTTTATTGTCTCCCTATTGTTCATTTTGTTTTTCTTTACATTCAGACCTCCCCCCCTCAAAGAAAAAGAAAAAAAAAAGGGATGCAATTGCTGCCGGTGCTGCTGCCAATATCTCTTCCGAAGCAGCTAAAGATTTCTTCTACGAAACAAAACGTCATATAAGATATGTGATTTCCTACCACAGATACGTTAAGAATTTCGAGGAAAAACTTGAGAAGTTGATTCAGAAAAGATCAAGCGTGCAACAAGATATTGTTGTTGCTGAAAAGCTTCCCCGTTCTTACTGTTCCACATGCGAAATTATGGAATGAAAATAAGCAAATCCATAAAAGAATCTGACAATTTTATATACCAAACAAAACTAGAAAGATAACAATTTTATATCAAATCAATGTAAGCTCATATTTGATCATACATCAAGTGAGCTGCTCCCACAAGCCCTTTTCAATTTGGGTGCATTATGAATTGGATGGGGTAGTGGTCCAAATTCACAAGACTCTTGGTAATTGACTGGCATGTGAGCTAGCTGCTCCTTGAGGTCCTTAGTCTTTCTTTCCTTATTGATGATAATTGATTTTTATTTTCATATAATAATTGACTGGCATGTGAGCTAGCTGCTCCTTTTTGACTATTACAGCTTTTACAAGTGGTTCAGTATGTGATTCTTCTGCAATTATCATTTCATCATCAAGTATTATCCATTAACCTGAATTCATTCTGTTTTAAAGTTGTTTTATTTCGCTTTCTTCTTGCCTGCTTCCTTTCGGTATTTTCTTTCTTGGCTCTCCTTCACTGTCTCCGTTTTTCATTTTGTTTTGCTTTCCATTTGAACCTCCCCCCAAAGAAAAAGGAAAAAAAAAACCAGAAATGGATCCAATTGCTCCTGGTGCCGATGCTGCTGCCAATATTTCTTTCGATACTGCGAAGGGTATATTCCGCGAAGCAAAACGACATATCAGATATGTAATTTCGTATCAGAGATACGTCAAGAATTTCGAAGAAAAACTTGAGAAGTTGATTCAGAAAAGATCAAGCGTGAAACAAGATATTATTGTTGCAGAAAGGAACGTGGAGAAGATTAAAACGGATGTCCAGGGTTGGGGTGCGATAGGGCGGACAAGTTTTTATTTATTTATTTGTTTATTTATACTTTTCAATTTTTTATTAAACTAAAATTAAAGAAAAATAATAATAATTGATAAATACTTGAGAGGTCATTATGTCTTTCTTTCTTTATTTTCACTTTTCAATTTTTTTATTAAACTAAAATCAAAGAAAGATAATAATAATAATAATAATAATGATTGTTTAAGACTAGAGAAGTCCTTATTCTTTCTTTCCTTATTTATATTTTTCAATTTTTGATGATAAATGATTTTTATTTTCATATATTACACGCTCCTATATAATTATTATTGCTTGAACTCATGTGACTTACAGGTAGGGGTGAGCAAAACTCGACTTTACTCGAAAAAATGATTTTTTTAATTTCAAGTTATTCGAATTAACTTGAATTACCAATTTGATTTTTGAGTTCTACTCGAGTTGAAATTTTGAAATTTCAAGTAACTCGAAAAAATGAAATTTGAATGAGTATTTTGATAGATTTACGATTTGGTCCCTGATATATTGTTCCTTCAATTCCTCATTCATTTTAAGTTAAAAATTCATCAAATTTAAATCACATGCTCCTAAACCATCGTAAAATACATATGTACTTTCAATTTCACTTTTGATAACATTTTTTATATTTTTTCAATTTAATCCCTCAATTTTGCATGGGCTTAAATATAAAAAGGTGCCCAATGTATGCCCTTTTTCAGTTTAGTGCCTAACGTTTCATTTCGTTACTCAAAATCGGCCAAGCCGTGACGGACCGTTAGTTTTCTATGTTAAATGACACATGTCACAATCTGAGAGTTTTAAAAATTTTATTTAAAATTAAAAAAAAAAGAAAATTATATATTTTTTAAAAAAGAAAACAACACAAAAAATTTGAAATAACTCCAAAACATTGAAAACCTTCATTTCAACCCATTAACCTTGAAATCTGTCACCGAACCACCCTTCTCCGACCGATGGTGGTTATTTCAAAAATTGTGTTTTCTTCTTTAATTTTTTTTGTAATTTTAAATAATTTTTAAACATTTCCAGATTGTGACATGTGTCACTTAACGGAGAAAACTAACGGTCTATCACGGCGTGACCCATTTTGAGTGACGGAATGAAACGTTAGGCACTAAACTGGAACCGAAAAAACGTTAGGCACTAAACTGGACCAAAAAAACGTTAGGCAATAAACTGGAAAAATGGATATTCCTTGGGCACCTTTTGTATATTTAAGCCATTTTGCATGATTTCCATATTTCTTCAATTCATCTTTCATTTTAAATACGTTTTTGACCAAAATTTAAAGCACATGTTCTCCTACCACTGTAGAAAATCTATGTAACTTCAATTTTTATTTTTTACTAAAAATATATATACTCTATTTTAAAATTTAGTTATTTAAGTTTGTATTTTACTCAATTTAGTATTTTGACTACAATTGTTTACAAATTCTTTTTTCACATCAATTCTTTGACTCCTTTATACTCTTTTTAGTCTTTATACTCAAAATACCTTCTTTGAAATATACTATTGTAAATATATTTTATAATTTTAGATTGTATGTGATACATATAAATAACATTGTAATGTGAAAAGAATATATATATATATATATGGTTAGAGAAAGTCAAAAAATTGAAATAAAAATGTACTATAATACTATAAATAATTACAATTAAATTTGTATAGAAACTCTAATAACTAGACTCGAACAACTCGACTCAAATTTCTTAAACTCGACTCGACTCCGAAAAATTTCAAGTTAAGTTTGAGTTATAAAATAAGACTTGTCAACTCGAATAATTCGAAATTTTTTTAATCGACTCGATCGAATGCTTACCCCTACTTATGTGAGAAAACACCCACAACCAACGAAGCTATTCCTTTGGGTTCAATTGATAATAAATTTTATAAGTACTTTATGTTTCAATATTTTTTAGTAGTTTAAGATAATTATAAGATAATATTTATTTAAAATCTTTTTTTAGTCATTGATATATAGATACACACCTTACAGACACAGCCAGAGACAGAGTCAAAATTCTAATTCAAGTGGACAAGATGTAACTAACAATAGAAAATGAAAAGGGTAAAATCAAAATAAACCAAAATGAGGGGGACAAAATCAAAATAAACTAAAATTTGAAGGTTTAAATACATGTTTCTCCCTATATAATTTTTAATAATAAAAAACTAGGGGAAAGTGGCCCCAACCTTTCACATAGCTTTGTCCCTATACATAGTTACTCGAACACATAACTTCTAATTAAAATATTACTATCTTTAACCACCAAATAATAATTTATATATATTTTTTTAAAAATCATTATAATCTTTCAATAATTTATTGCATGATTAATAAAAAAATAAAGTGGTAGAGATCAATTTAATAAATGTTATTTTTCTGTTAATTAATTCAAGTTGTAATTTATATAAATTTAAAGTTTTATAATTAAATATATACAAGATAATTACATTTATACATTTTTTATTTCCTACATATATATTATATAAAAATATAATTTTTATTATTATATATTCATAATTATATTTTTTTGTAAAATAAGTAATTAGGTAAAAATATTAAAAAGGCATTTTATATATATTATATACATTTTGGAATAGTATTCAATATACAATCTAAGAAAAATAATTCCACAAACACTTATTAAATAACGATAAATATTTTATTTATTTCTAAAATTTTAAATATATTTTTTAAAATTCTTATCATAATTTTAAAAATATTTATAATTTTTTTTCTCCCAACTTTTTTTTTTTTGATAAATAACTTTACACCAAGTAATAGTGCATAAACTTCCTCCCATTCTCACTTTTGCGCATGCGAAATGATCGAATGAAAATAAACAAATCAATGAAAGAATCTGACAAGTTTATATACCAAACAAAAGAAAGATAACAATTTTATATCAAATCAATGTGAGCTGTGATATTTGATCATGCATCAAGTGAGCTGCTCCCACAAGCCATGAATTTCGCTACATTATGAATTGGATGGGGTTGAGGTCCAAATTGATCGCAAGACTTTTGGTAATTGATTGCCATGTGAGCTAGCCGCTCCTTTTTGACTATTACAGCTTTTGCAAGTGGTAAAGGTGTCCTCCACAAAGCGAACAGACATTAGTGCGAACAAACATCCACTAAACAATAAAACAAACATTAAACATATCTAAAAAAATACTTAGTGCTTAGTCATTTTTTAATCTATCTCTCTACCTCATTTGATTCAATATTATGAAAGAAATCATCCGAGTGAGTGTTGACTGTTGAGCACAATTTCATTAGTATTTTCCTTTGAATTTACTTGAATGAAATGTTTGAAAAAATTCTCAATACTGAAAATTATTTGTTTAATATGTTTAATAAAAGCTAATGACTTGTAATTCAAAATTTAATAAGGACTTGAACATGAACTAAAAACAAAGAAGGATAATAGTAATTGATAAAGACTTAAAAGGTCCTTAGTCTTTCTTTATTTTTATTGACTTCAATTTTTGGCAGTAATTGATAATATTTTTCATACATTACCCACCCATTTAACGTTTATATATGTGGTTGGTGCTGTGTGTCAATCCTCTGCAATTTTCATTTCATCCTTAAGTTTTACCTATTAACCTTCGTCTCATTCATTCCCTTTTTTAAGGTTGTTCTTTGTTGCCTGCTTCTTCTCAGTATTTTCTTTCTTGATTCTCCTTTATTGTATCCATTGCTCATTTTGTTTGTTTTTCTTTCCATTCGGACCTCCCCCAAAGAAAAAGAAAAAAAGAAAAGAAATGGAAGCAATTGCTACTGGTGCTGCTGCCAATATCTCTTCTGAAACTGCAAAGGGTATCTTTCATGAAGCAAAACGTCATATCAGATATGTAGTTTTCTACCAGAGATACGTCAAGAATTTCGAGGACAAACTTCAGAGGTTGATTGACAAAAGATCAAGCGTGCAGCAAGATATTGTTGTTGCAGAAAGGAACGTGCAGAAGATTAAAGCGGATGTGCAAGGTTGGTGCGATAGAGTGGACAAGGTTATCGCTGAAGACAAGCATAAAGTGGATGATCTTCAAGTCAAAGCAAACAAGTGCTTCTTTGGCTTCTGTCCCAACATCAAGTGTCGACACAAGCTTAGCAGGAAAGCGGAAGAAGATGCCGCAACTTTTGATGAGCTTATCAAAGAATGTCAATTTAGCAGCGTGGGCTACCATGATCTTCCACAACCCATATTGGATACAGATTTTGAGGTTTTTCAATCAAGGGAAAGGGTTTTCAATGATATCATGGAATCCCTGAAAGATTCTACTGTGAGCATGGTTGGAGTGTACGGGATGCCTGGCGTGGGAAAAACATCACTAGTCAGAGAAGTTCATAGAAAATTCCAGGAGGCTAAGTTGTTCAATTCAGTGGTTAGGGTCACTGTATCTCAGACACCTGACATTCAGAAAATCCGAGATCAAATAGCAGAATCGTTGGGCTTGAGGATTGAAGAAAAGAGTACAGTTGTAAGAGCCAGTAGATTACGTGAAAGGTTAATTCAAGAGAAGAATCAGGGGGTTCTTATTATTCTGGATGATATTTGGAAGAAACTGGATCTAGAGGAAGTCGGAATTCCATTTAGAAGTCAACACAAAGGATGCAAGATACTCTTGACGTCAAGAAATGAAAATGTTCTAATCAATGAGATGGGTGCTACCAAGACCTTTCCGCTTGGTCATTTAGAGGACAAAGAAGCCTGGGAGTTTTTTAAGAAGATGTCCGGGGACAGTTTTGAAAGAGATAAAGAGCTGCAATCTACAGCAATTGAGGTAGCCAAAAGATGTGCAGGATTGCCGCTTGCCATTGCCACCGTTGCTAGGGCGTTGCAAAAAAAAAGTTTATTTGTTTGGAAGGAGGCTTTACGACAGCTACAGAGGCCTTACTCAAAAAATCCGAGCGAGATATCTGCTGAGGTATATTCTGCTATTGAATTGAGTATCAATCATTTATGGGGTGAAGACCTCAAGCAGGTTTTCTTGCTTTGCAGTCTATTGCGTCGTAACACTAGAGTAGAAGACTTGTTGAGATATGCAATTGGTTTGGGTTTAATTGAGGGAGTCGACACGTTGGAAGAAGGACGAGATGCGTTGTTAACAATGATGAGTAACCTGAAAGCATCTTGTTTGTTGCTTGATAGTAACACCAATGATGAATGCTTTGATGTGCATGATCTTACTTATATTGTGGCCAAATCAATGGCTTCCAAGGACAGTCATGTGTTTTCCTTGAAAAAAGATGATGTTATGATGGATTGGCCGAATGAAGAATCAATGAAAATGTGCAACAAGATTTGTTTGGAATATCCTACTCTCAACAGTCTTCCTGACCAGTTAAATTGTCCACAGCTTTCTCTTTTCCTTTTGTTTAGCAAGGATCTTTCCCTGAAATCGGATGACTTCTTCAAGAAAGCAACAAAACTTAAAGTCTTAGCTTTGGCTAGAATGCAATTTTCTTCTTTACCTTCATCAATTCGTCTACTAACAAGCCTCAGCACATTGTGCCTAGATCACTGCAAACTGGGAGATAATATTACCATTATTGGAGAGCTAAAGAGCTTGGAAATTCTTAGCCTTTTGAAATCTGATATTAGATTTCTACCAAAAGAAATTGGGCAACTGGTGAAACTAAAGTTGTTGGACGTGAGTCGTTGTGCTAAGCTCAAAACAATTTCAGACGGCGTGTTGTCAAGTTTGTCAAGATTAGAAGAATTATATATGGGTGGGACTTCTATTCAATGGGGAGAGAGCAGTGCCACTCTTGCTGATCTACATGCTCTGTCTCATTTGTCCACTTTAGAAGTTCAAATCCCAGATGCTAAGGCGGCACCACACGACTTCTTTAATGAGTTGCAGAAGTTGAAAAGATACAAGATTTTCATAGGAGTGGAATGGGCCTGGGAGTGGTTTCGCAGCTACCAATATTCAAGAACCCTAAAACTGAGGCTAAACTCGGGCATGGATGATTTGGATGTAACAACCCGGAATAAAATTTAGAAAAAAAAAAAATTAATTAAGTAATTTGGCAAAATTTGAGGATTAAATCGAAAGTTTTCAAAATTGTAGGCCATTTTAGAAGTTAAAGGAAATTCAGGGACCAAGCCCTGCATTACTCCTTTTAGTGTCGGCAGAAGATTTCATTTAAGCGTATGAATGGTTTTCTGTTTTCAAAACAGAAAACAATTGTGAAATTCCTCCTCCCGCACTCTACTTCAAAGCCGATTCCGACGCCGTCCGAATTCCGATCGTTGTTTTGAAACCACCGTTGTGTTCATCATCGAGTGAGGAACAAACCCTTCAAATTAATTGAAGCGAAACGCGGCCAAACGTCGGGAATTTCCAGTCAAAGTAGCGACGGTTTTGTTAGCTCTATCGCCGAGGAAATCTTAAATTCACCATTGATCGTTGCTCCGTTTACGACACCTCCCGCACCATCGTGTTCCTTGTGCCGTTCCGAGTTCACCGGTGTCAACCTTGTCCGCCGTAGACGGCGGCGCGTGAGGAGGTGGTGCAGTCAAAGATTCGGCCGATTTGAAATCGAGCTCTCCGCCGTTCAAAAATTTGAACCGATCGTTGTAAGTATCTTGAAATCGCTCAAAATAATTTTTAGAAATTTTTCCGGGATTTTTAGGGCCCCGGAGGACGCTCACGCGCCACACGCGCCGCCGCAGGGCGAGTGGCTGCTGGAAACCGGTTTAACCGGTTTTTAACCGGTTCTGACCGGTTTCAACCGGTTCGAACCGGTTTGACCGGTCTGAATCGGTTTGACCGGTCTGACCCGACCCGACCGTTGACCCGACCCGACCCGACCGTTGACCCGACCCGACCCGACCGTTGACCGTTGACCGTTGACCATTGACTTTCTTTGACCAAAACTTAAAATGGCTTTGACCGAGCACTAAACGACCGTTAATCTTTTCCGAGTATACCTATCCTGATAGTTTTCGACGTGCCGAATCCGTTTCCGTGGTCCGTTTTGTCAAATTCGAATCCGAAGGTCTCCAAATCTACGGTCAAAGTGGTTGACTTTGACTTTGACCAAGAATTTGAATTTTCGAAAAGTCATACTTTATGTTTTTCGACGCACTGATTCCGATTCCGTAATCCGTTTGGCCAAATTCAGACTCGAAATACCTCAAATTGATAGTCAAACCCGAAAAATGTGTATATACTTAAGAAGTTTGGCTTTGAACAATTAAATAGGATTTGAGACTGATAAATATTATTGTTTGAAGGTACAAGAGACTCTCCGGATCGTTCGACAGCTCGACCCAGCTCTTATAGATCAGTTAAACCACGTGTGCCAGTATTTACCCGTTCGAAAACTGTAGCAGAGCGTGGTGAAACCAGCAATCAGTAGATTTGTTATTTGAATCTATTGTCGAGGTGTGTTCCCTACTTGTTATTGAACTGTTTTATTGGTTTTAATACGTGGTACACCGAATTCATTGGCTATTGTTTTATGGATGCACCAATTTAATGTGACAATTTATGGAATATGGCTGCTATCTAATTTTTTTTTGAAATGGTATATGATTACCATGTTTTTGGATTTATGGAGTTTATGTCATGGTGCAATTGAATTTTGGAATTGAAATACGATGGAATAGCTCTGATCAAGCTAACTGGGCCTAATGTGACTCTTGAGGGCCCCAAGATGTTTCATTAGGTCGGCTTTCCTTTGCTGTGTGCTTAGGGTAAGCTATATGGACTTATTGACTTGGGCTTAAGGATACAAGCTTCGGAGCCTATCCTTAAGTCGGCTTTCTTTTTGCTATGTGCATAAATTAAGCTATATGGAAAATAATTTTGGGAACTACTGATGGTGTACCAGAAAAGGGTTTAAACTATGATTTTCAAAAAGTTAAACTCTTTTACGAATTTGTGAGATTACTGGAATATGATTTGTACTTATTGTGATTTTATGGAAATGTTGGGACACACTGAGCCTAGCTCACCTTTTGAAAATGTTTTCCCCTTACAGATACTGTTGGGTAGATACCTTGGTTCGAGCACTTGGAGGATCAACATATCTCTTGAAGTAAATCAGATTGTAATATTTTTATCTGGCAAGTTTACTTTATTTTGGTGACATGAACCATATTTTAAAATATAGGATTTTATAATGATAACACTTTTGCTACTACTGCTCGGTTTATTGTGATTTGGAATTTGAAGACATGTTTTAAATTAAATTATTATTTATTTGTACTATATTTACAAGTTGGATTTTGATAGTATAAATTGTTTATAATTTCATGTTTTTATAATGTGATTTTATATTGATGGAATAACGGTTGCGAAAAATGTCTTTAATAATTATAATGTGATCCACTAGACTTAGTCGAAACGCATAGGCCGGGTCTAGGGGGTTACATTTATTGGTATCAGAGCTTTTGGTTTTTAACCCTCGGACTGTGTATGAGTCCACATTGAAAATACGATTTTGAAATATTTTACAAAACGAGTTACTAAGGCCATGTCACAAAGTTATTAAGATTTTAACTATGTTTGAGACTCCAAGTGCTTATCTAACCCTAAGTTTTATCTTCTGTAGTAAACTTGAGATCCATCAAAATGAGTGCTAGACGTAGTCGTCGAACTAGCCGTGGACGAGGTCGAGTGGCTAGATTCGCAGATCCGATCGATGAGATACGGGTAGATCCCCCACCTCCGATAGGTGATCATGCTCCTACGACCCCAACGGATCTGCCTCCTGCCGCTGGTATTGGCATGACTACACCGATAATAGGAGCGACCGATATTGAGTTAGAGTCTACCGGAGTTGCTTTGGATGAGAATTTTGGTAGACAATTTCTGCAGTTAATACAGGGAGCAGTCAGAGCTACTGGTGTTGTATCTGAGGTTCCTATTTCGCAGACTTTGATTGCCAATGGAGTTAGAACTTTTGGGGGACAGATAGGTGGAGCTCCTACTGAAGCTGAGGATTGGCTCCAGGATACAGAGAGACGCATGGATCAGTTGGGTTTGGACTCAATTAAGAGATATCAGGGTGCTGTGGCGATGTTAGATGGCAATGCCTACACTTGGTGGGAGTCAGTGACCAGTAGTGTTCCTACCGATCGTTTGACCTGGAATTTCTTTAAGGATCGCTTTCGGAGCCGTTTTCTGGGAGAGCGCTATTTAGCTCAGAGACGACAACAGTTTCAAGACCTGGTTCAGGGAGACATGACTGTTTCTGAATATGAGATCGAGTTCCTGAAATTGCTGAAGTATGGATTCAGTATGGTACCTACGGAGAGAGATCGATGTCGTAAATTTGCCCTTGGACTCAGATACGAGCTGCGTAGGCAAGTAGTAACCCATCAGGATGAGATATTTGATGTGCTGGTGTGCAGAGCCAAAGATGCGGAAGAGGTGGAGTTTTTAGCTTCTGGTAGAGAGCGTGTTGATCAAGATCGATCTAAGAAATTTTCAGGCCCGATGGAGTCATCAGCACAGTCCGGAAAGAGGACTCGTACTTCAGCTCCTCAGAGAAGCAATACACGTTTCAGGCCTGCAGCATCCTCACCTTTAGCTGTCAGTCGAGGCGGTTCCTCGTCGTATTATAATGGGCCCCTTTGTGAGTATTGTGGTAAACAACACTCAGGAGAGTGTCGTAAGAAGATGGGTCTTTGCTATCAGTGTGGATCTAGTGGTCATTATCGGAGGGATTGTCCTCAGTTAGTTTCGTTTGAGCAGACCACTACCCAAACTCCTGTGCGTTCGCAGACTACAGTACAGACCCCAATTAGAGATCGTAGTCAAGGAAAGACTCGAGGATCAGCGTCCAGGACAGACAGTAGAGCCCGACCTCAGCAAAATAGAGGGCCAACAGCTTCTGAGGCTAGACAGCCAGCTTTGGTTTATGCAACTAGACGTCGTGATGACAGAGATGAGCCTGAGGTTATTGCAGGTACATTTACTATTTATTCTATCCCATACTTTGCATTACTGGACAATGGCTCCACTCACTCCTATGTATCGAGCTCAGTATCTCGAAACCTTCAGATTCCGATAGAGAACACTGAAAATACTGTTACAGTTACGAGTCCAGTAGGACAAGCAGTATTAGTGAATAAAGTATTTCGGCGTTGCCCTCTCGAGGTTCAGGGAGAAATTTTTCTCGCTGATCTTATGGAGCTTCCTCTAGAGGAGTTTGATCTAATTCTTGGAATGGATTGGTTGAATAAACACAAGGTAAAGCTGGATTGCGAATACAAGTGGGCTACTCTGAAGGCTTCAGATGGTCGGACTGTTGTGTTAATTGGGGAACGGCGTGGCTATCTCTCCAATATAGTTTCAGCGATGGAAATTGATCGTATGATCCGAAAGGGATATGAGACCTTCATTGCTTGTATTTTGAACACCAAAGGTGCATTGTCCACGATCGAGGAGATTCGTACAGTTAGCGAGTTTCCTGATGTTTTTCCGGAGAAGTTGCCTGGGTTACCTCCTGATAGAGAGGTAGAGTTCGAGATTGAGACTTATCCAGGATCTTCACCTATTTCTATGGCACCTTATCGTATGGCTCCAAAGGAACTTAAGGAGTTGAAAGTCCAATTGCAAGAATTATTCGATCGAGGATTTATCCGACATAGTACTTCACCATGGGGAGCTCCAGTTCTATTCGTGAAAAAGAAGGATGGGTCGCTAAGGTTATGTATTGACTATCGGAAATTGAACAAGATGACGGTCAAGAATAAATACCCATTACCCAGGATTGATGACTTATTTGATCAATTGCGATGAGCTACTGTATTCTCTAAGATTGATCTTCGTTCGGGGTATTATCAATTGAAAGTTAAAGGATCTGATGTTGCAAAAACGGCCATTCGCACTAGATATGGTCATTATGAATTTTTAGTGATGCCTTTTGGTTTGACGAACGCTCCTGCAGCTTTTATGGATTTGATGAATCGGGTGTTCCGACCATATTTGGATCAATTTGTGGTGGTATTCATTGACGATATTCTGATCTATTCTCGTACGGAGGCAGAGCATGACGAGCATTTGAAGATCGTTCTGCGG